AAATTTGCTATTTCAGTGGTTAATATTTTATTTAATACCAATTACAACTAGCTAGAAATATATTACATTTATTTTAAGTAAAATAATAATTAGGTATTTCGCGTCAACTAAACGACTTCAGATATGATAAATGACCATGGTATGGCCATCTTTGCAAATTTGATTTTAGTCGTTTTAATGCATTTCTGTCAAGTTTTAAAATTTTTATATTTTGGTGTAAAATTTTCTTACCGTATTCTAAATGAAAATACACGTCTGGCTGACATTTACAATCACGAAGGCCTGCCAGACTCGCAAGTTGTATCCGACCGAAGGGTCGGTTATGGTTTTAGCCAACTTCGGCCTAAAATAAGAGTTTCAACTAGTTTCGGTTTCGGCGGAAAACTAGCCGAAAATGCAGCAGAAAGCGAAACTATTTTCGAGAGTTTTCGCATCATACTTGGTGGTGTCCGGTACAATGGCGACTGTACTGGGTGCCATTCCTGCATAGTCCCAGACAGCACAAAAATATTGCATGAATATTCAATACATATCTCAACTGCATACTCCTATATTCCATGGATATGCCATATCCGCCATGGCATATGACAGGAAGATTGCAGGAATATTCAAGGTCACCATGAAACATATGCCCACGATATGTTTTTATCTGCCAAAATATATGTATGGCATATTCTCTGGATTTACTGAGGATATCTATGTATGCCTATATTTATGGTATTTTGAATATTCATGGCATATTCAATTTTTTTTTTGTAATGCCGTACCATAGTTTAGAAAATAAAACCCATACTTAAATACAAAATACATTTTATTTTCAAAATAAAGCAAATTAAAAAAAATAAAACAATACATACATACATACAAAAACTAAAACTTTAAATTTATTTGTTGAGGTTCTTCATGTACTTTTCTCCTAAAAAAAAAAGATATATAAGATATGTATATGTATTATGAAATATTTATAAATTATTTACATTTTGGTGCTTTTAATAATAAGTGTTAGAATTGAGATAAAAATATCAGTAAAATAGAAATATTTCAAAACCTTGACACAAACATTACAGTAATACTTACTTCTATAGCATCTTTGGGTCACTTTATTTATAGGTCTCTACATTTTCCTTTGCCATTTGTGTACTGTGGATTTTCCTACACATCTCTAAAAAAACAAAAATGGTTTTGTCTGCAAATCAAAAGAGACTCGTCTACCAATTGATTTACATTTATAAAATATTTATGATTTTAAGCACCACACTGATACTACAGAAGGACCATATATTATAAATAATCAGACTTACCTCTTAGAAAAAACAAAAACTACAAGTTAGCAAATCTGACAATGTTTGGTTATGTGTCATATTCTTCTTTTTTTTTTTTCATTAGTGGCCTTCACCTTTAGAGTATTTGACCAGGGTATCATGAATAAAAAATATTCCTCACAATCGAACTTTCCGTGTAACAAAGACTTACGTTTGACGAAAGGCTAGTTTATGAGTGGAGCCAATAAGACACTATTAGGTAATTTTTACTACCAACTACCAAAACGTACTAGGCGCATACTTTTGACTTGACTGTTAGAATCATTCTTTTGTCCTTTTCTTGTCTACATTATAGGAAAACTATACATACTTATTTTATCTATGAAGAGAAAGATAATTTGATCTCGGAGGCTTATTTTTTTTTATTAATTGAAAATATGTTTGCACGATAATGATTTAAAGTTACATACCAGAGTTCTAAGTTCACGTTTTTGTTTAATTTAAGTCTTTATAAACTGAACAAGGATGATCCTGTTAACTATGTCTTCATTTGTACTTATAGATAATAAAACAAAATAGTTAAATATAACATAATATTCTACAGAGATATCTATACAATATGAAAAATGAATATGCAGAGCATATCAAAAATACATATGCCTGGAATATCCTTCTAGAATGTAGAATATAAAATATATTCAGTGAATATTCCATAAATATTGCAATATTGCAGATTGGTGGCATATGCCAGGGATATAGTGTGCTGTCTGGGGTGCACGTAAACACAAGCTTCTCTGCTATGTTCCATGTGAACAGTCTTCAGTGCTCCTGGCCTAATTTATTCGGATCGGAAAAGCAATTTTTTGGGTGGATACGTGAAAAAAATATTACTTCTAGCCTACACCGTTAGACTGTTTACTTATGAATATTAATTTAATAATAAGTAACAACTCGACCATTCACTGTTGGGTTCTAATTAACAGTGCTGTTCCTAAAGTGGCGCTGGGAAACAGTAACAAAGCCTACACAGAACACGAGGCTAATGGCCTTAGTAGTCGATGCCGATGACACCAAATTAAAAAAAAATAATAATAAGTAACAAACATATTTTATCAGCTGAATTCGTTTTTTACTACAAAAAAGTTGAGTGGAGAAAAGAGCGGTGACCCCCTCCAAAAACCTATAAAAATCAAGAAAAAAATATTGCCTCTTCCTCGGTATTATTAGTCATGGTATTCTAACACGTCATATAAAATTTCATGAAAAAATGCCAAACGGTTTAAGAGCAACGTTAAAAAAATTAATTTAAATTTTTATCTTATACACCCTGTAACTATTTTTGAGTGCACTTTTGTATTATTATAGGTAAGTACGGTTTAATCGACCTATTTTTGACCCAAGAATATGTGGTATAATTTATGACCAATCTTTTTGAAACAGCCTGTATATAATTGCCTTTATAATATTATTTTTGTTACAAAAAATCTACTGAAGATGCAGAAATGATTGCTACTTTGTAATTCACTTTCTTTTTTTTTTCATTTCAAAAAACTTCTTTTGATCACATAAATAAATAGATAATAAGTAAATGTAGCTAAAATTTATATGAGTTAATAAGTCTAAAACAAGGATTACAATAAGATATTGCAAATTTCAATAAGATCTTGTCTTAAAAGAAAAGTCTTGTTTCTGTTTCGGCCAAAACTAAGAAAGGAGCTAAAATTAAGTTTCTGTTTCGATTATAAATCCCTGTTTGGGTCGGACCTAAAAAGCCAGGTAGTTAAACGAGGAGAGAAAAACTCAAAAGTGGCGGTGAAGCTGAGGACAGAGCAACTGCCTTCCACACAAATAGCCCGGATTAGAATCTGAGCTAGAGGTTATTTTTTTTTGTTTATTTTATTTTATAAATTAATAAAATTCATAAATTATTTTAAAATTAGTTATTTTGTCTTAACTTAAAATAATTTTTTAAATTTATAGATTTTCGTTAGCGTGTCGTAGAAAAAATATACTGTACAGCTCAAGTGGAATGTCCATATCCACTCTTGTTGCAGAAACTACTATTTCATGACTACGAAAATGTAGAAAATTTTTGTGATGAACATTTTTCAGTATTTTCACCTTATATAAATACATATATATTATATACGATATATTATCCATACTCACATTAGCCAGAATTTTTTACCTAACTTCAATATACCTCTTACTACTAGAACTATTTATTACCTATTATATTAGATGACTAGGGCTAGGGCGTTAGCCCCCCAGATCTGATGTCATAACTTCGCCCATGGTTTTCATCAAAAATCATAGAAGTTGAATTTAGTGACAACTGGAGTTTATGCAAAGAACGCCTCAATTCCAAAAACAATATTAAAATAAGCAACAGGTTAACTACTAAAATGTCACTGCACTTCTAGAAAAAATCAGCTGTTTCTCTGAATTCAAACAATAATATTATTCATATTAGTGCCCCCTTTATCTTTTAGTTTTTATTGACAAACGGAAATAACTATTTTGTAAAAAAGATAGCTGTAATTTTCTGGCGTCACGTTACCCTAGTAATCCGCATAGACGACAGAAGTTTAAATTTTTTTTATCAGGTTTTGCTTGAAATTTGAATTTATCGTTATTTGCATGAAATGGACAAATTTAGGTGCTTTTATAATACGATGTATCGGGATTTGCTTGAATCTAACGCGCTAGATCGGTAAAGCGCACCGAAATTAGTAAAAATCCGTAAAATCCCAAAAAATGTAAAAAGTGGATTTATCGGCTTCTGCATGTTTGCTCCAATATGCTGTCACTGTTCTAATCGTTTAGTATCCTATAAAAAACATTTACAATCACACAATTGGAGTCCAAAAAAAAAAAAAATAACTCTTTATCTAACATTAAAACTCTATAAAAAATAAATTTTCTTTTCTATTAAGTTAAATTAATGTATAATTATTGTTGTTTGTAAGTCAGGATCTATGACTGTAAAATTTTATATTATAGTAACTTGTAATAATAAAGATACATATTGTACGATCATATTTTACAATTATTCTTAAATATACAGCAAATTTCAAAAATAAGGGGTAGACCAAATTTATACGGTTTTAAACTAAACATCTTTCATAACAAATTTAATTGTTTTCACATCGTCAAATAATTTTAATAGACAGCGTTTTTAAAAATGGATTGCCTTTTTATTTATTTGTTACGTTGTATATAGGGTGTGTCAAAACGCAAGATTACCATTTTCCTTTTTTTTTAAATGGAATACTTTTGTATGTTACAACACAAATTTAATTAACTAATAATTCAGTTTATTTTTATTCGGCGTTCCTTGCATCAAAACTGATTTTTTAATTTTATTTACAATATTCTTTCTAAAAATTATATTAGCATTTTACTTTAAATACGTCCATATTTTCAAAAGCCAATTAGAAAAATGTGAAAAAATTTTAATGATAAATCCATCAAAATAAAAAAGAGTCGTTCGGGGATAAAATACCAGACAAAATAAAAAAATAAAGAAATTAATTTATAAACTGGTGGTATAACGCACGAGGTATTAGTAGATACATGCACAAAATGATTCGATTCAAATTTTCTGCCATGAGATGCGTCATTTGTTTGATAACGTCATAAACTATACTCACCACCAATTTATAAAATAAAAATGCAAAAGTATTTTTATTACATACATAAAAAAAATTAACTGATCGGTACAATATTGATATCGAATTATTTTACATCATCATTTATTGGCATAAAAGTGACGTCTGTTGCCCTCAAACCAATATCCAATTCTCTCCAAACGGCACCACCACTATATATCCATGCGTTTATATACGGTGTAATATAAAGATTTTCATTCTTTGCTTGAAAATTAAATCCAATAAATACTCCGACATCCCACCAAAAGGAATTTTGTGAAGCATCAACAATATGTACTCGTCTTATTTCATTGGTAAAATGAATAGTTTCAAAGGTCACTTTACCAAATTTTCCGGATCCTACATCTCCAATTGTAGATGAAGATTTAGCCATTCCATCAGTTTGAATAGTAACAGTAGGATATTCTTTTATAAAATCTTCCAAAGAATTCGTATAATTTCTCCAATTGACTACTTTGTATGTGATGGATTCGTCTCGATATTTTGTCGTAGTCGACCAATTGGCTCCAAGAGTACGATAATTACTATAGTGCATTGTATACTTGATTGACGGTTTCGTTACAACGCAAGAACATAAAGCACCAAGTACAATTATTATTATCAAACGAAACATGATTGCGACTGAAGATTATTGTACGTTATCCAAGGTATTTATACTGATTTCCACATGACCTCATGATAGTAGCCGAAAAAAATCAATTATTATCCAAACTAATGCACATCATTTATATTTTTTGTAACATTGCGTCACAACTAAATTTACCTGTTATCCTGCAAAGAATGCTTCACTTGTAGAAAAAAAACCTTTAAAAATTTGTACGAGGAAAATTTTTATCTGTATTAGATTATTGTAAATTGTTTAATGAATAAAAATTAATTTTTGGTTTTGAAACACAATGAGAAAAAAAAATTGTTTCGCTATGCCTAAAACTACAGCAGAACGTAAACGATTGCGACGGGGCAAGGATATCAGTGATCCTGAACGCAAAAATCGAAAATTAGATACAATATACATGTTTGGGAGCGAATGAAAACACAAAAATAATTTTTATTATTCAGTTATTACAAACAAAACAAATTAATTGATATTCAGAAATACCAATTGCAATGGGTCGTTGTTTTTGTTTACGTGTATTTTCCATAAATTTCGTGGAATACCATTGCTTTAATAACCTCTGAACTTTGATATTAATGGTAGAAAAATCTACTGCGATAATGTGCATCATTTTTATTTTTATATGAACTTCCTGGTCCATATCTAGCGTATAAATATACCATAGAGAATGCTTCTTGCATATGAGGGGCGTTGGTGAAGTTGTAATGGACAATTAAAAGGAGTCTAATATCATAAATTTATTTATGACAACGTCAATATTAGTCATTCATTTTCCATCAACTTAGGCTGCGTTAAGTGAACGGTCAACTTGACTAGTATGGTCAGACCGCTCGCTAGGCGATGTAGTCGAAACTGTCTAGTCCTAATTTGTAAAATTTATGATTAGCTAGCCGAAAATTACAAGACTAGGCAGTCCCTCCTGTGTTTTGTGAGTCCCTTGTCCTTCAACACATTGACAGTTCTAAAGAATGCGGTAAACTCAATTAGAAGGCATTAAAAAAAATAATGTGAACAGCAGAAACAGAAATAAACTTATTATGGCTACTTGTCAATTCGCTTTTCAAACTGATGATGAAATAACATTGAAAAATATAATTCTTTTGAAACTGTAAGTTCAAGCATTAGCATCTTGAATAGGAAAGATTCTTGTTAGTGTAGCTTTTCTGCCTATTTAAGAGTAACTGGTGACTAATCCCGTAATAATATTACATAATATTTGGTTTTTCCCGTTTCATGTATTAAATTGGTTTTCAACAACAGTTTATCCATAACTATTAATTTCTTGTATGTTTAAATGAAATAAAAACATTAATTGACATTTGCTCATTCACTAGACAGTTTTGACTAACCAAGTCAAACTCAATTTCTCGACCGTTCCGACTGACTCTGACCGATCAGCTGATTAGTCAAGACTGGTCGAGTTGGTCGGTTTTCTCGTTCGCTAGACAGTTTCGACCAGTCCGACTGCTCACTTAACGCACCCATAATACCATGTTTGCCGTAACATCAAAACCATAACAACACATTAATAACTAAACACCAGCTCCTACATTGCAGTTGTTTATAAAAAACTACCCCTGGGTGTGAAGGGCGTAGTAACGTGTGGAGGGTTAGGGTTTGTTAACCCACGAAACTTAGTCTTCACTAGGCCCATTGTGCATCCTCCTAAGTAGATAAAGATTTAATGTAGTTGACAACGTCGCCAAGAGGTGATTCTCTTGTATCGGCCGGTGTTAGCCAATTCTCGCCGAACGCAAATCTAATAAATGAGAGCGTCGGAAAATTTTACATAATATGCTCAATATTGACAAGGGGGGTAGCCATGTGTGAGTTGAGGTAATTTTAAGGTGAAGGGGGAGAAAAAGTCCTTTATATCTCACAAGGAAAGTCAATGTTTAATTATTTAACAAAACATTGAGTGCGACCGGTTTCGAAGTGTCATCACTTCATCTTCAGGCTCGCCTAGTGGAAAGGAGAATATGTGGTGTAAGGTGTGTTAACACTTAGAGCAAACGATATATAAATTAGTAAAAAAGAGAAAACTCACCATACTCTCCATCCACTAGGGAATACTACAAAACAAGTTTCATCAAATGTGGGGTGAAATAAATTGTAAAATGAACAAAGTTTACAAGTAATAAAAAGTTAAAAATATTTGAAAAAATATTTGTTATTAAGTGAATTGTGTAGTACTTTGTATACATGTAAATGGCAATAAAACCGTCACAAATCCGATTGTAGTTTGATTCTAAACAAAATTTTGCAAAATCTCAATAATGTAAATTTGTAGATATCCATTTATAGTAAGAAACAAAATTTTACGACTTACGCTTGGAAAATAATGAACACTTTATTTTTGATTTTGACATTAACACACATACTTTGATTACTATACGATGCAAGAGAAACTTCCGACACGCCCATGGAGGTATAATACTAATGGAGATGCCATGAGGCAATTGTTTTGCATATGATACGTTTTATTAAAAATGACCCCACTGGGCGTGGCTTAAATGGTTGACTAAGCAGGGTCGTATTCAAATATAATTAAGTCCGTATGCAGATTTACAACTTTTAAATGACTTACTTACCTAAGATTTGTTTCAACATGATCGATTCGAAATTAATTTGATGACATTGCGCAATTATGACTTTTACACTATTTACTATTATTTATTAAACGTTTTCCGACCAAGCCAATGCCAAGACCATAAAAGAGATTAATATTATTATATTGTTCTGTCTTCGCCGAAACCGTCCGATATATGACCTGTGTGATCGGAAATCAACGTTCGAATAACACTGTGCATCAGATTTGTTAATCTCTTTGTGCTTTAAAACTAAAACCCGAACTACGATTTTTCGTTCAAGGACTCTCTTGTCTTGATCAAAGCTGCCAATGTCAAAATCTGACAATGAGGAGAATTATGACATCACATTACCAATCCAAAAACCAAACCACTACGTGAATTGTGAATAAATATATTTCAGTAAAAATACAGCCGAATTTGTAGAAAGGATAATTAATTACTTTTAAATGTAAAACATGTAGGTCTTTCTGCTGCAGATGACATACATTAAAAATATGACCCGCTACAGTCAAAAGTTTAAGAAGACCAAAAATTTAGCTAGGTATGACTTTATGGTTAAAAGTAGATGGAAGAAAACCATGATCAAAACTACTCTGTCAAAACCAATCGGAACTAAAAAGACTCAGATAATAGTTGTTGGTTTTATTTATGTTTGAAATAATTAATTATATAGGGTAGGTACATATATTACTAAAATTGCAAGCAAGTACTCACTAAAGATTTCTATAATTGGTACCTATGTATAATAAACAACAATCTCACAGATACACAGCATACAACTATACAAATGGAATTATAGAGATAATTTATTTTAAAAATAGGCATTCAGTTGCGATTTGTGATTACAAAAAGAAAACTTTAACCACTTTTTCTGATCAGTAATGTTAGTGTTATAGTGGAAAAGTTTCTAGAAACTGGTGTTTTTAATCCTAATAAAGCATTGTGAATTTCCAAGAAAAGTGCATGATGAAAATTGTTTTGACCAAAATTTTGAATGTCATACCATATAAAAAGAAACCCTGTGGCTGTGGATAACATTTCACACAAAATCTTATCCTAAAAATAAATGTTTGGTTCCATTGGAGGAATAATTTCTTCCTTGGTACTTTTTTAGGGTGCAAGGATGACTTGACATTACTAAATTTAAACCTTTGTTATAAGTTGTCTTTTTGCTTTAATTTCTGATACGCCTGTATTGTACATACTTGAAAAATATAAAATTGTTCAAGTGGGAAGTTTATATCCAAGGTGTCTCATTGAGAAAGGGATACAGAACAACTGAAGAGTCTGATTAAAAATAAGACTATGCTTAGAATGCAAATATTCTTCATTTTAATTTTGAAGTTTCTTATAAGTTCCCAACAAAAGTACCTATATGATTTACTTAAAAAACATCAAACAAATATATAATTATAGTTCAAATAAGTGTAACGTATCTTATGACTCCAAAAACTTCTGCCAAATTTGGCAAAATTTTAGGTAACTCTTCAGTTTTTCTGTGTCCCATTCTTAATAAGACACTACAAAAAAAAATTTATTATTTAAAAAAATATTTATTGACTTTTAAACAACACTATTTTGTTATTTTGATGTCTTATGCTAGCAGCTTTATTAACTCTAGTTTTAGTGAGATATGTTAGTCGGATACTAACATATTTATCAACTATGCACTTGATTAATAATATTCTATGATTATCCAACACAAACTGGTCCAAACTGTGCTGCATAATATTCGAAAAGACATTAGAATTTATGAATTCTTTTAAAACTAATGTGCTGATGATATCAACTGATATTTTTTTCTTAGAGTCTTTCATACTTTTTAATATTTTTTCACATTTTAAACAAATGTTTATTACATCTTCCGATGGATATTGCAAACCATTTTTATTCTTTATATCAATGAATGAAAATAGAAACAAATCTCTAGTTTTACTTATTAGAGCATCTAGACATTGTTCACATATGATTTTCTTTTTTAAATAATAAACAACATATCCAGAAATGTAAGTGATTATATATTTAGAAAAGGACGAGAATGGATCTGGTAAATGATCATGATCATTTTCAATAACATTCACTTTCTCAAAATCGTCAATATTATTAGACATTGCATATTCCTTTAAAGTAACATTTAACTGGCTTGTTATATTGCACTTTAAAATAGTTAATTCCTCCAAAGGAATACAATTTCCACGGAAACTATCTCTTAATTCAACATGAACTAAAATTTTTTTATATGCAGACTGAAATTGCCTGACTGTAGGATTATTGTTAAAACCTCCATGAGACCGTATTGAACAAAAAAATAATTCTAAATTGTCTTGTGAAATTTTGTACAAAGGCAAACATTTTAAAAACTTATTTTCTACAATTAAATTATTGTATAGTAATTTTAGGCTTGCA